AGTAGGTGGCGCTGAGTGCTTGAACGCCGCTAGGCTGCAACCCGTGAGATAGAGGGTTCGGCGCTCGCCTCAGCTACCACTCCCCCGCCCTTTTGGCCTCACCACAATTATCCTATTACTATTCTATTAGTATTGATGGTGGTTATTTCTCTCGCCCTCTTTCTTTCTATCCCGCTTCAGCTCCCCAAAAAGGGGAGGGTTACTTGGCCTTGATTCTTTCCTGTCTGGGATTCCCCTGTTTCCTGATTCTTTTCCTTGATTTACTGTCCTGATTTTAGAGTTGTTTTTCATCCTGGTAGCCAGGTTTGGTTCATTTTCATGGTTTCCTCCTTTCTGTTGAAATTGTCCCCATGCTTGTGGGTTTCAGTGGCTTCTCTGTGTAGTCTGACATGCTGGTTGTTAGAGTGGCCCAGCATTTCTGGGTTCTCAAATAATATGATGTGGCCAGGTTGGCTTATATTATTATTTAATATGCTTTTGGTTGTATTCTGTTTTGGTTTGTGTGTATACTTTTATGGCAGGTTCATAAGGTGACAACCCCCCGCCCTCCAGCACCAACTGCTGCTCTGAGATCAGGGTGAAGAGAGGGGCCAGGAAGGCAGTTCCATCTTGCCTCCTGCACTGTGCTTATATAATATAATATAATATAATATAATATAATATAATATAATATAAAATATTGTATATACATATATTATTATTATTATTAACTTTATTTGCACCCCAATAGCATTTCCCAAGGACTCGATGCAGCTTACAAAGGCCAAGGCCTCAAAACACAACATAACAATACACAACCTAAAGCAAATTAAAAACAGTTAAAGCAATATTAAACAACAAGCAATAAACAATACACCAGAACACAATAAAACTGGGCCGGGCCAGAGTAATGGGAACAGATTAAAAGTGCTGATGTGACAGGTAATATGTAAGGATTATAGGGAAAGTGCAGTGTGCCAGCAATCTTAATTTCTAATAAAGTGCTTCTGGGACTTGTTTTCCTATTCTGGAAAGGCACATTGGAACAGCCAGGTCTTCAAGTTCTTTCTAAAGACTGCCAACGTAGGGGCCTGTCTAAGATCTTTGGGGAGGGTATTCCAGAGTTGGGGGGCCACCACAGAAAAGGCCCTGTCTCGCGTCCCCACCCATATTGATAATATTATAATGTAATACAATATAATACTACTAATAATAACATTATAATTATATATTTTATATTAAAAATTAAATGTTTTGGTATTATCATAATTATCCTATTACTATTCTATTAATATTGTTGTTATTTCTTTTCCCCGCTTTCTTTCTATCCTGCTTTAGCTCTCCGAAAAGTACTACCAAACAGGAGATTTCCCCCATTGAGAGCAATAACATCATTTGAACCATAGATGAAGAGGGCAGTTATCTGTGGGGAGTGATTTTTTCCTGGTTTTTCTTCAGAGGAGATCAGCCGAGGCTGAGAAATGTGACCCTAGGCATGGCATCGTCTGGATTTGTCTAAAGTAAATATTCTTCAAACATTATTAGAAAGGCCAGCCTCAATGAAGGTAAATTAGCATTTCCTGAGGAAAACACTGGCAGCTGGACTGTCCTTCTGATCTATTACCAATATGACCAGCCATATATTGCTCTCAATGTAAAATTAGGACAATCTTCTATCTATATAAATAACAATGTAATGTTTGTTTGTGGGATTAACATAACTCAAAAACCACTGGACGAATTGCCACTAAATTCGGACAGAAGACACCTACGAACCCGAGGAGTGACCACTCAAAAAAATTAATGTTGTAATTTGGGAGTTGTAGTTGTTTGGATTTATAGTTCACCTACAATCAAAGAGCATTCTGAACTCCATCAACGATGAAATTGAACCAATCTTGACACACAGAATTCCCATGACAAACAAGAGAATATTGGAAGGGTTTGGTGGGCATTGACCTTGAGTTTGGAAGTTGTAGTTCACCTACATCCAGGGAGCACTGTGGACGCAAACAATGATGGATCTGGACCCAACTTGGCACAAATACTCCATATGCCCAAATATTAACACATTGGGGGAACAGACCTTGACATTTTGGAGTTGTAGTTACTGGGGTTTATATTTCACCTACAATCAAAGAGCATTCTAAACCCCACGAACGAGAGAAACTTCATACATAGATCCCCCATGATCAACAGAAAATACTTAAAACCATCAAGTCCAACTCCCTTCACCAGGGCAAGAAAACGTAAACAAAGCCCTCCTAACAAAGACCCACCCAGCCACAGATATAGATATATATGATTCACAGAGAGAGAGAGAGAGAGAGATCTAGCATGACAGATTTGAAAGGGACCCCTAAAGAAGGACAATTATATTGCATGTTGCAGAGCAGGTAAACCAGACAATCTCCACATCAACACTGACAAAGAAACAGCAAGAAATACTTTTAACCCACAAGCATCAAGAAATTACATATATTAGGAACCAACACTTTCTCATTACTTTATTTTCCAGCTCACAAGACTGGGCCACAGCAATATGTGGCAGGGGATAGCTAGTAAATAAATAAAATAATTATATGGCTATGTGGAAGGGCCCTCAGTGACTTCAGGGACAGAGTCTGAGGCAGGAACCACTAACCTACCCTTTCTGAATTTTGAATTCCTTCCCTCTGTGCCTCCTCTTAAATTCTGTGTGTTATTATTTATATGTGAGTTATATGAATTGTACTGTTTTATTTGCTTGCTGTTTTGCTTTTACTGATGTGTTGTAGGGCTTGGCCTCATGTAAGCTGCCCCGAGTCCCCTTGGGGAGATGGTGGCGGGGTTATTTATTATTTATCATGTCAGGGCAACCAGTCAGTTATATCACATTTCTAACAGAACAAAGCAAACAAACAGACAAAATACAAAATTTGTGATTTTGGTAGTTGATTAAATGTCCTTTGATCAGTATCTGGCCATTTGGAGTGCTTCTGGTGTTGCTGCAAGAAGGTCCTCCATTGTGCATGTGGCAGGGCTCAGGTTGCATTGCAGCAGGTGGTCAGTGGTTTGCTCCTCTCCACACTCGCATGTCGAGGATTCCACTTTGTAGCCCCATTTCTGAAGGTTGGCTCTGCATCTTGTGGTGCCAGAGCGCAGTCTGTTCAGCGCCTTCCAAGTCGCCCAGTCCTCTGTGTGCCCAGGGGGGTCTCTCATTTGGTATCAGCCATTGGTTGAGGTTCTGGGTTTGAGCCTGCCACTTTTGGACTCTCGCTTGCTGAGGTGTTCCAGCGAGTGTCTCTGTAGATCTAGAAAACTATTTCTGGATTTAAGTCATTGACGTGCTGGCTGATACCCAAACAGGGGATGAGCTGGAGATGTGTCTGCCTTGGTCCTTTCACTATTGCCTGCCACTTCCCGCCAATTTCAAATGATGCTGGTCATGGGCGAGATAAAGAGGTGTGGCGTTGGTGGGGGCATGTAGGCAGACTTAAATCAATGTAAAGTGCTTCAGAGGACAGAGTGCTAAGGGTTCATTATTCTGGGAATTCACACTGGAACAACCACGTTTTCAAGCTCCTTCTAAAGACTGCCAGAGTTGGGGCCTGCCTGATGTCCTTAGGAAGTGAGTTCCAGAGTCGAGGGGCCACCACCGAGAAGGCCCTCTCTCTCATCCCCACCAATCGCGCTTGCGATACAGATGGGAGCGCGAGCAGGGCCTCTCCAGATGATCAAAGAGAAATGCTAATAGACATCCACTGAGGTTGGCCTTTCTAGTAATCATAGAATCACAGAATCAAAGAGTTGGAAGAGACCTCATGGGCCATCCAGTCCAACCCCATTCTGCCAAGAAGCAGGAATATTGCATTCAAATCACCCCTGACAGATAGCCATCCAGCCTCTGTTTAAAAGCTTCCAAAGAAGGAGCCTCCACCACACTCCGGGGAAGGCAGAGAGTTCCACTGCTGAACGGCTCTCACAGTCAGGAAGTTCTTCCTCATGTTCAGATGGAATCTCCTTTCTTGTAGTTTGACAAATATTTACTTTATTTACTTTATAATGTTTGAAGAATATTGACTTTAGACAAATCCCGATGATGCCATGCCTGGGGTCACACTTTCTCAGCCTCGGCTGATCTCCTCTAAAGAGAAACCAGGCCAAATCCCTCCCCACAGAGAACTGCCCTCTTCGTCTCTGGTTCCAATGGGGTTGTTGCTCTCCACGGGGGGAGTCTCCTGCTTGGTCCTACTTTTCGGAGAGCTAAAGCGGGGCAGAAAGAAAGAGGGCGAGAGAAATAACCACAACAATACTAATAGGAACTAGTAATAGGATAATTGTGGTGACGCCAAAAGGGCGGGGGAGTGGTAGCTGAGGCGAGCGCCGAACCCTCTATCTCACGGGTTGCAGCCTAGCGGCGTTCAAGCACTCAGCGCCACCTACTCCCCCCGGCGTTCCGGCGAGAAAATCCGCCTTAAGAAGAGGAGGAGGCGGGGCCAAGCCTGAGCGACGAAACTGAAAGTGACGTCACCCCGCCACGTGGAGACTGACGTTGGGGGCGGGGCCAAGGCTGCCATTGGAGGAGAGGGCCCAGTGGGCGGGGGAAGAGCTCCTGATGCCATCACGCCACGCAGGGAGGAAGGAGACAGGGAGTGGGCGGGGCCTAGAAATGGGCCCTGGCCTTTTGCAAGTTGTGCAATGGTTGCCCCCATTCCTGCCATTGAGCCCCATTCAGGCTGTTGCCATTCACAGAGAAAAGGGAGGGAGAGAGGAAGGAAAAGAAAAGGGAAAGAGGAAAGGAAGCAAGGAGGGAAAAACGGAGAGAAGGAAGGAGGAGAAGGAATGAATGAGGAAATGGAGGGACAAGGGAAGGAAGGAAAGAAAGAAGGAGCGACGGAGAAGGAAGTAAAAGGCTGGAGGAGGAAAGAGGGAAAGAGAGAGGTAGAAAACAAGTGGGAAGGGAGAGAGAGAGAAAGCCAAGGAGGAGGCCCAGAGGAAAAGAGTCCAACATTCAGAAAGGGGGGCTTAGTAGTTCTTACCTCAGACTCTGTCTCTGAAGCCACTGAGGGCCCTTCCACACAGCCAGGTCACAATAATAATGCATTTATATCCTTGGCTTGTTCTTTCTCTTCCTTCCCTCTTTCTTTCCTGCCTGAATGGGGCTCAGGGGCAGATTGCAAGAGGCCAGAGCCCATTTCCCCCATGGAGCCCCTTGGCCCCGCCCACTCCTGTCGCCTTCCTTCCTTCCTCCCTGCGTGGCGTGATGACATCCCCCGCCCATTGGGCCCTCTCCTCCTTGGCCCCGCCCCCAGCGTCAGTCCCCACGTAGCGGGGTTACGTCACTTTTAGTGTCGTAGGTCACGCTTGGCCCCGCCTCCTCTTAAGGCGGTTTTCCTGGCCTGGTTGCCGGGGGGAGGCGGTGGAGCAGTGGCGGGAGCGCTGGACTAGGACCCTTGAGACAGAGGGTTCGGTGCTCGAGTCAGCCACCCCTCCCCCGCCCTTTTGGGGCTCTCATAATTATTAGGAGATTATTATAATATCATGATTGATATTTTTTTCTTCACCCTTGCCCCTTTTCCTGCCACAGAGCCCCATTCAGGCTGTGGCCATTCAGAGAGTAGGGAGGGAGGGAGGAAGAGGGGGAGGGAGGAGAGGAAGCGGAAAGGGAAGAGGGGAGAAAGCAAGGAAGGAAAAGGGTTCTGGAAGGGTTTGGTGGGCATAGACCTTGAGTTTGGGAGCTGTAGTTCACCTACATCCAAAGAGCACTGTGGACTCAAAACAATAATGGATCTGGACCATGTATGTCCAAATGTGGACTCTGGTGGAGTTTAGGCAAAATAGTTGCTGGGATTTATCGTTCACCTACAGTCAAAGAACATTTGGAACCCCACCAAGGTTAGAATTGGGCCAAACTTCCCACACTGAACCCCCACGACCAACAGAAAACACTGTGTTTTCTGGTGGTCTTTGGCAACCCCTCTGACACCCCCCTCACGACCCCTAGGTTGAGAAACACTGGCACAGACCTTGAGTTTGGGAGTGTTCGTTCACCTACATCCAGAGAGCACTGTGGACTCAAACAATGAAGGATCTAGACCAAACTTGCCACGAATACTCCATATGCCCAAATGTGAACACTGGTGGAGTTTGGGGGAAGTAGACATTTGGGAGTTGTCGTTGATGGGATTGATAGTTCACCTACAATTAAAAAGCATTCGAACCCCTGCAATGATAGAAGTGGGCCACACCTCCCACACGGAACTCCCACAACCAAGAGATAATAATGTACTTTCTGGTGGTGTTTGGCAACCCCTCTGACACCCCCTCATGACCTCCCCCCAGATATATATAAATCTGTTAGGTTGGTTCAACCGGACAGCAAAACTCCACAACCCCCCAACGAAACTGCACCAAAATTGCCATGCCCCAAGGACAACCCACTCGGTACAAACTAATCCACTCAGAATTGAAAACAACACAACAACACACAGATAAATCGCCAAAACAACTGAGCATGCGCACTGGAGCAAAGTCCCCAGCGCGCGCACACATGGCCGAACGGCCAACGCACCCTCCGCACTTCCCTCCCTCCCTCGCCCCGCCCAGCACGAACACGTCGCCGCCCACACGCACACACACACACAAACAACGCAACTTCCCCCGGCCCCCTTCCCTCCACCCCCTCCTTCATCTCCCCCCCCGCTGCCTCCAAGCCCCGCTCTGCACACTCCAAGCCTCGCCGCGCCGCATCCCCTCCGGAAAGACACGCCCCCTCCCTTCGCCCCACCCCTTCCCTCCGTGACTTACTCCTTCCCTCCTCCCACCACCTCTGGAAAGACACGCCCGAAAGGAGTAAGTCACGGAGGGAAGGGGTGGGGCGAAGGGAGGGGGCGTGTCTTTCCGGAGGGGGAGGGAGGAGGGAAGGAGTGAGTCAGGGAGGGAAGGGGTGGGGGCGAAGGGAGGGGGCGACTTTGAAGACACGCACCCTCCCTTTGATATCGAGCTGCTTTTAGTAGGGTCTCCTCAAGAGAAGAGAACCCGAGGACCGCGCCAAAAGGGCCCTGGATACCTTGGAGAGGCCAGCGAAGCCAAATTGTGATAAAAATATTAAAAATAATAATGCCCCATCCAAGTGGAAGAAGTTTCCAGCAACCGAGGTTTATTTGTGATTCAGCTGAGATCAGATGCATTGCAGGGATCATTCCACCGCAAGCATACCAGTACAAAGAATACAGGCATATTTATAGTAAAAATACAAAGGAAAACTTTCAAAATTCCCGCCCGCCCCTTGCCGGCCGGCTTCACGCTGATTGGCTGAATGCTGGAACAGCTGGGAGGAGGCTGGGTGGCCTGCCCCTGCTCTGGACCAATCAGCGCGTTTCTTCGCCTCTAGAGGGCCAATGAGCGCCCTCCGCTCGCCTCGCAAGATGGACAAATCAGGAGAGAGGAGGCGGTGCGGCCGGACAAAGGAGGGGGGAAATGATGGGATTAGGAGTTGCCAGCAAGCCTTTGTCTCAGGCTGGCAAGGTGTGATCCTAGCAAACAAAAGCTTTCCTGTCCTTGATGAGCTTTGGAGGGGGATATGAATGGCTTTTTCGATATCGGACCTCAGGGGGATCAACAATACCTGGGTGATTTAATCAGTCTTTTCTTTCCGAGTTTCTGTTGACCCCCTCCCCTCGCTGGTCTTGCTCCGAGGGCCAGGGTTGGGGGGAAACAACAGCATTGTCCATGCAAGTGAAGCAATCAAGGGTGATTGAGGGAGAGGCTGCCCTCCCTCAGGCAGTTCCTGGTCACAGCAGTTTTTGTGGGGCAAGGGTCAAGGGGACGAAGGTACAGAGGAAATTCATAAGGTTACATACATATATCAAAATCATAGGCAATAGGCATCACTGATACAGAGTTAGAGCAGAAGAGGAACCCCTTCCCACCCCATAAAGTTTATTTCAATATTTGATCTTTATTAAGGTCCAAACTGGAAATCCCATGCTCTTAGGAAGGGCGTGTGGAAGCAGAGGTTGCTAGCAGTTCAAATCAAGCATTGATAGAAAGTTCATGGCCAGGGTTGTGGCAAACAGTCCAGTCCACTCAGCAGAGAGTCATGGATTCAGGCTGGAATCAGCAGATGGGCGCTGAGTTGATCAATAACAGAATCCATCGTTCAGCCCTTGGGGAACTACAACTCTCACAAAAGGGCAGAAGTCCCAAGATCCAGCCATTTCCCAAAAAGCCTCGTGGGGTCCTTGTTGTTGTCAGTGCCTTGGCAATGTGGCCAAGACTTAACCCTTGTTGTGTAGTCTGGTGACCTTGCCCTTTGCAGAACTATAAGTCCTTATCCCTTAATTCTGAGGGGGGGAGTGCCTGACATCACCTTCGCCCCACCCCTTTCCTCCGTGACTTACTCCTTTCCGGCGTGTCTTTCCAGAGGTGGTGGGAGGAGGGAAGGAATAAGTCATGGAGGGAAGGGGTGGGGCTAAGGGAGGGGGCGTGTCTTCAAAGTTGCCCCCTCCCTTTGCCCCACCCCTTCCCTCCCTGACTCACTCCTTCCCTCCTCCCTTCCCCTCCAGAAAGACACGCCCCCTCCCTTCGCCCCACCCCTTCCCTCCCTGATTCACTCCTGGAAGGAAAGGGGTGGGGGGAAGGGAGGGGGCGTGTCTAACCGGAGAGGGAGGGAGGAGGGAAGGAGTGAGTCACGGAGGAAAGGGGTGGGGCGAAGGGAGGGGGCGTGTCTTCAAAGTCGCCCCCTCCCTTCTCCCCACCCCTTCCCTCCCTGAGTCACTCCTCCCTCCCCCTCCGGAAAGACACGCCCCCTCCCTTCGCCCCACCCCTTCCCTCCGTGACCTTGAGCATGGGAGTTGTAGTTCACCTACATCCAGAGAGCACTGTGGACTCAAACAATGATGGATCTGGACCAAACTTGACACAAAAATTCCATATGCCTAAATATGTATGCAGATGGAGTTTGGAGGAAATAGACCTTGACATTTGGGATTTGTAGTTACTGGGATTTATAGTTTACTACAATTAAAGAGACAGAAATGGGGCAAATTTCCAACACAGAACCCCCATGACCAACAGAAAATACTCAAGTTTACACACAAGCATAAAGAAGGGTGAGGAAGGAGGGATGCCAGAGAGAGAAAGAGAGAGAGAGAGAGAAAGAAGGGAAAGGAAGGAGTGTGCGAGAGAGAAAGAGGGAAAGAGAACGAGGGAAGGAAGGAAGAGAGGCCAGGCAGAGACTTCAAAACTCTTACTAAAGGCCACAGCAACGCGTGGCAGGGCACAACTAGTCACTCATAAAAACACTGAAAACCACAGCGGAAGAGACTTTAAAAACCAACAAACAAAAAAATACATTACAACACATGCGCAAAACCATACAAATAATCATCATCATCATCATCATCTTTATTTATTTATACCCTGCCACCGTCTCCTCAACAGGGACTCGGGGTGGCTTACATGAGGCCAAGCCCAGACAACATATTACAGCAAAATAAAACCAAAACAGAAGCAAAAAGCAACAACATCATAATTACATTAAAACATATGAATACATTAACAATATAACATTACAATAAACACAATCACAGCTTGAGAAATACTGCTTAAAGGCCATTCAGTCCACCTCCCTTCACCAGGGCAAGAAAACAGGATCAAAGCCCTCCTGACAGAGAGCCATCCAGCCATAGATATAGATAGATATATGATTCACACACACATGTATATGATAGATGTAATATCATAGATTTGAAAGGGACCCCTAATGAAGGACAATAATATGTTCCATGTTCCAAAGTAGACAAACCAGACATTCCCTATATCAACACTAACAAAGAAAGAAGGACTGTTTACCCTCAAGCATAAAGAAATTGCATATATTACAAACCAACACTTTCTCATTACTATATTTTCAAGGTCACCAGACTGGGCCACAGCAACACATGGCAGGGGACAGCTAGTACTCCTAATAATAACTTTATTTTTGTACCCCACCTCCATCTCCCCAAAGGGACTCGGGGCGGCTTACATATGACTCAATGTGCTTTAAAACATTGCATAAAATAAACACACAATACAATACAGAATGAAACCGAATGCATATAAAATAATAATGTAAACCAACCTGGACACAGCATATCATGTGAGATAACAGAAATGCTGGACCACTCTAACAAAGATCGTGTCAGACTACACAGAGAAGCCACTGAAATCCACAAGCATGTGGACTATCAGTATTAAAAACAACTCTAAAATCAGG